TATTAATAGGAGGTTTATTAACATTATTAACACCATTATCAGCTCGTGTTCATATTAGATTATTAATTGCAGTACGATTTTTAACTGGTATTGTTTGTAGTTCAGGATATCCATCAGCAGCTGCTCTTTGGCGAAATGGGTATAAATTAAAAGATATTGATTTTATTTAGAAAAAAAATTCTTGTTTTCTTTTTTTTTGACAAAAGATACCACCATCAGAACGTCGTACAGTTCCATCAGGAGCACAAACTGGTGGAATTTTTGGAATAATTACTACTACATCATTAGTTAGTATTATGATTGGAGAACATTTTCTTGGTGGATGGCCATCAACATTTAATGTCTTTGGTAAAAATTTTTATTTTAATACAAAATTAACTAATATGTATTTATTGATTATTAGATGTATTTTCTTGTTTATGGTTTCTTGGTTGATGTTTTTTTGGTTTTAATTCACCGGATGGACATCCACGTATATAAACAGAAAAACATCTTTTTCTTAAAAACCACATAAAACCATATAGATGCCGAGTATTGAAACTAAATAATATTTATTAATATTTTTTCTTTTTTTGTTTTAAGTATGGAAAAACACCATGGAAACATATAATTCGCTGTCCACCTGTATGTGATACTGCTATAATGCATATTTGTCATAATTATATTTATTAGACTTTATTAACATCATTACCAACTTATTTTTCTATTATACTTAATTTTAATTTACATCAGGTAATGGAAAGATGACTAGAAGATTTTAACTACAGAGTGAAATTCATCTTTGAGTTCTTTAAAATTTATTAGTTTAATCGTTTGATAATTTCAGAGTGATCTCATATTTGCTATACCTTATTTTGCACAATTTTTGGTAATAGTTGTATCTGGACCTATAGTAGATCGTATACGAGCACGAAATATTTTATCAATAACAATACTTCGAAAAGGACAAACAATTATTGGTAAGAAAAAAAAAAAGATAAAGAAAAATTTTCAAAAAAAACAAAAATATTTTGTTTTTGATTATAAGGTACTCTAGGTACATGTTCATTTTTGATTGCAATTGGTTATATGGGATGTAATCATATAGGTGCAGTTATTTGTTGTATTATTGCTCTTGGTTTTCTTGGCTTACATACATGTGGTCCAATAATTTCTCATCTTGATGTTGCATCAAATTATGCTGGTAAAAAAATTTTAAAAATAGTTTTATTTGTTTATTTTTTTTATTTATTAGGAACATTAGTAGGTATTACAAATTCTTTGGCGACAATACCTGGTTTTGTTGGACCTTATGTTGTAGGTACTATTACAAATAAGAATATAAGATTTTGTTTTTATTAGATACATATTTATTAATTATTCTTTTTCTTTTTGTTGAATTGCTTAGCAAACAATTGAAGCTTGGCGTCTTATATTTAATATTTCAGCTGGTATTGGTGCATTGGGTTGTATTGTTTATTGTATTTTATTTAATGGTAAAGAACAACCATGGAATCGTACTTGTGAAGCACGTGAACGAAATGAATCAATAGTATCAATAGATACATAAGGAAAAAATTATTTATTCATGGAACTCTTCAATAATCACTAGATGATTTATATTATTTGTTATATGTGTTATTCGTTTTATTTCATTTATAAATCTATATAAATTTATTTTTCTCTGTTGCATCTAATATTTTACTTATTTTGAATGAATATTGTTGAATAAGGTCATATAAGGATATATATATATATATATGACATTAATTTTTATAGTTAATCATACTTGCAATTGTTGAATCAGCTAAGAATATAACTTTCTTTTTTTTTATAGAAATTAGTTTAAATAATCATAGATAAATCAATGAATTTATTTGACAGATTTCTATTGACGATATTTATAAAAAAAATCTTCAGAATGATTGTCTTAATGTGTTCTTACGTTTAATTGTTATTTTATAAATATTATGTATTACATGTATCTAAATATGATCAATTTATAGGGTTTTTTTTTCAAATTCATTTTCTGATAGACATGAATTTTCATCAGAAATTTTTCTTTTACATGTTGCTAATATTCTTTTACTTAAGCCACCTTCGAGAAAAAAAAACAAAAATTATTTCTTTTGTTTCATTTGTTATCAGAGAAAACTTTATTGAATGTTTCTTTTGCATATATTCGAGCGTACGTCAGTAGCATCGATAACCTTTGTTAAGCATATTTATGCTACACATTCTTTTCATTGATTAACTATAGAAATAAATTTTCCATACTCGAAATTCATAATTATTATATTTTTCCAATATTTACTGATATTTCTTTAAAATTTATTCATCAACAAAAGAAGAAAAAAAAAATAATGTCGAGCATGTAGAAGAAAAGAAAGAAAAATCAATAGTCTTTCTCAAAAATTCTAAAAGACACCTGGACCATTTCCTGCTGATTGTTCAGCAAGTTGTAATTGAATAATTTGTGATGGTGGTATTTGTAATTCTTGATTTACTTTCGATTGCATATATTTCGAAAGAAGAAGACGTAATTCATCATTTTGTTTAGCTAATGCACTATTTTCATCCATTAATTTTGCACGTGCATTCAATATCGAACTAAATAAGTATAATAGAAAATTTATATATAAAATGAAATAAACAAAAAACAAAACTTACTGATATTTTTGAAGACCTGATAGAAATGCATCCCATAGACGTTCTCGTCTTTCATCAACAACATTTGGATATTTTGACCAATATTCAG